GATGATTTTACAGTAAGAGCTGAGTGTTTAACTTCAACATTTGAAGAATAGTAATCTGGTGAATCTGGTTTGTTGTCTTCAAACATTTGTGCAAGACAAGATTCTAAATCATCATTATCGGACATTGTTGAAAGAGGTGACGTGGGCCTTTTTTCAGAATATTGCAAGTAGTAGTTACAATGTTGACTGATTGTTGGACTTAACATCAGGGAAGAAGAATGAGGACATTGATGAACTGACACCACAGATTCTGGGGAGGACGCTCTAAAGTCTGCCAGCCAACTGTTCAAGAGTGAAAAGTCCAAACCAGGAGACACAAACTCTGGAGACAATGCTCTATTATCTGACAACAGATCCAGACCAAAATCAGATGAATGTGACTGAGAGGACACTGGTCTGATCTCATCAAACATAATTTCCAGACGCAAATGAGAATCTTCCCAGTCCGAAAATGCTGATTCTGGTGTAACCGACCTTTGCCCTAACAATTCCGCATTACATTCATTATGGGGACATCTGAACTGAGGAACAGGTGAGTCTGGAGAGAGCGGCCTAAATTCACCTTCAGACTCCAGCGATTCAGGAGACTGTGGCCTTAATTCCGCCACCCACTCATCTAGAAAATAAAGGGTATGTTCTGTATCAGATGCTTCTGATGGCGAAGATGCAGAAGGCATAGTTCTCAAGTCACTACTTTGGAAGTCAAATAAAGTGTCACATTCGTTGTCATGTGTAAAGCCTCGCACAACCTGTGCATAGGTCAAAGGTCTTGAAGCAGGCCTTAGCAATTCTTCATTGTACTCATTATGCGGACATCTGAACTGAGTAACAGGTGAGTCAGGAGAGAGAGGACTAAATTCATCATCAGACTCCAATGATTCAGGAGATTTTGGCCGCAATCTTAGGCATGATTTTACATTAAAACCCGAGCGTGTAAGTACAATATCTGAAGAGTAGAAATCTTTTGAATTTTTTTTGTTATCCTCAAAAACTTGTGTAGGTACTGTTCTCAAGTCACTGATAAGGGTTAACTCCTTTTCAGTTAGAGTGCATATGGTCCCCAAACTTTTTGTATCTTCAGGAAATACATAATCCCTCTGTTTTCCTAGCGATGTATGTGAAATTTTCAAACATGGCCTTAGTGCTTCCTTCTCAGTTGTGAATAATGCATACTGACAGTCTTTGTTTACAGTTTCATTTAAGGGTTTTTTTGTGTTAGAGAATTGAGTTATCGTTGGAAAGTCCAAAATGTATTTTGGTCTCTCCACTAAGTCAAACACAAGTGGTTGGGCTAAAGATATTTTTTGCAAGTTGTCACAAGATTCAAGTTTTTGGTGTTGGTCTTTGGTAGGTGATAATTCTTTCACCGAAGTCAAATTTATAGTCTCTTTCATTTCATTGTATTCTGGAGCCAATTTTGGCTTTGTTGTTAAATCTTCAACTGACTTCCCTGGTAATGAATTATTTTCTAAAGATTCTGCTTCCAGCTTTGAAAACCAGTAATCAAGGTAAGATTGACTCCTTTCCTCTCTTAATTTTTGGACTCCAGAAACTAGTGGCTTAAATTGAAAGGACTCTTCCTCTTTAGCTGAACAGCCCAAGTCTTCAGTGTCAATGATTTTGACTTCTACACATGTAAGAGTAGATGAATCCATAATTGGTATTTCTCGTCCTTTCATGTGACATATCAATGAATCTGATGCATCTGTGGTTTTATCATCTCGCCATTGATCAAGATGAGATGAGCAATTCTTTATAGTATATTGCTTGACATCACATGCATTATGTTGGTGCTGTGAAGCAGAAAAATGTGGTGGAAGATAAACTGATGTGGCAGATTGCTGGGGGACAGACGGAGGGCAATCACAATCTACATAATCCTCCATCAAAGGGCTACTTTGACCTGCTTCCTTTACACTGAATTTATGGTAAGAAGTTGACATCAGGGATGGTGAGGATGGATTTTCTCCTGAATACTGTAAATAATAATGACAGTGTTGATTCATTAGCTGTGTGCGAATTGGCTGTGACAGCAATAGTTCAAGAAATGAAAAACTGCACTGAGAAGTTTGCGATTGTGGGGAAGATGGTCGGCAATCCCTATCTGTAGATAAATAGTCATGAATAGCTGCACACAAGTCAGGTGAAGATATTCCTTTGTGAACTGAAAGATCATATTCATTTTCTACTATCACAGGTGAGAATGTTCCGGATTCTTTCTTTAAATGTTCACCCTCATGTCTTGGACTATAGTTAGAGATTAGATAGTCATTCGATACTGGTCTAGAGTGTGAAATTACAGGAACAAAAGCCTTTGACCCAAAAAGCAGTTTGTGGTCGTAACTACATGACTCACAGGTGTTATATTCATTTTCAGTGAAGTTGTTTGTAACTTCTGGAGAACTACATCTCTCAGACATAACAGAGAGTGCATAGGTCTCATCAAATATACTTGAAAAGTCTGGAGGTAATACTCTTTCCCCACCCTGAGGAGAGTCAGGTGACATTGCTCTATAATCACTAACTGACATGACAGATTCGGGGGATGACAATCTAGGTACAGATTCATTTAACATCCATGCATCTGGAAGGAAGTGACCACTTTCATTAGCGGGAGAAAGGGAGCCACACTGCTCTTCAGATGCTAAAGAATCAGGGGTCAATCGGCTGCAGTCTATAAAAGTGGAAGGTAATGTGATACCACACTCAGGTGTTTGTAGTGTGAGATAAGTGACAGGCTGGAAATAGTGGAAAGACAAATTCTCTGGCTCAGTAATGCAGGACCTGTTTGCTTCTGCTACAACATTGTTACTGTTTGGAGTAGTAGAATAACAATTACAGATCATCTCAGTTGAGTCACAAGCCATACAATGAGGGCGACAGGTTGTCTGACTGCATGGCATCATTGTCTGTATGCCATTTTTAAATGGATTCACGTTGCTGGACTTAGCTGTTGCAATATTGAGTTCAGTTGCCTGCATATCAGCATTGTCATCAATGAAGGGCAAGTTTTCCAGAATGACTTCACTATATACATTGCACTTTGTTATTTCTTCTTTGCTTAACTTGAAGGGTTTGGTGTCCATGTCCACACCTGAAACCTGTGTGGTCTTGTCATGACTATAGAGTACTCTCTTGAACTGGGCTGTGATCTCACTAGAACTGGCTGGATCTCTATTGCAAAACAAGGGTGCACAATGTAATTCATTACAAAGCTTACTGATATCAGTTTCAATTTTGTCTGACTCTGACAGCTTCAGAGTAAAGTCTCTGACAGAAAAAGATGAGTGAGATGAGTGAATTTCACAGGATTGACCTTGCTTGTCTTCATAACCACAGTGCTCTAGGCTTTGACCATCTTTGACTTGAGCTCCACCTTGGAAAGAGCTGATGAAATGAGCTTCCTGGTCTTTCACTTTGGGGTCATAAACCTGAGTTGCTTGGCTCCCAAATGCAGCTTCTTTTGAAGTAGGCTGCATACTTACTTGCTCATCTAAGTTGTCTTGACTTGATTCACGTGTAATTACATCCTCAGAGGTCCACAAGTTAGGATTCAACTCACTGCAGAACAAAAAGAAAGATAGGTCACAAAATCTGACTTTGATGATAAATGTGCATCTCAGAGTCCTAATCTGACAAGCTAAAAGGGAAACACACCCAAAGAACTGCACCCACTATATGACACAAAGAACAGCCTGAAGCAGGATAGGACACTGTTCTGTTTCCTGAGGACAACTTGGTGGGAAACATTAGGCTTGAGAAAAGGAGTAGTTTGATCTGACATTGTGTTGCACTGCCAGTGCATTTTGCAGAGTCAGGAATATTTTCAAATGAATAACTTACTGCGGGATTTCAAGCTCCTCCAATAGGTCACCATGCATGCTCTCCGAATGGATCTGTCCAACAGGCTCTGCCCACGAAGGAATATCCAGTAGGGAAGCGACTGAGAGGTCCTCTTCTGAAACAGCTGGGGGTGGTCTGCGATCTGACTCCACTTTTCTCACGACTCTGGGGCTATCTGCATCCTCTTGGACTGAAGATAAGGCTACTGACACTAAAAACAACATATATATGTATATATATGAATGAACGTAAACACACAGGGAGCTTGGTGGAAGGTAGGGTTTTCAGTGTGCTAAGAAGTACAACTACCTTCACTGTGATCCAGTGTCTTCTCTATCTCTGCATAAGTTCTAGATGTTTGCTCTTGAACTGACTTGTTCATCTGGGTTTCAATAAGATGAACAATGTCCATGCGGTTGATCTTAGTCAGCCTCTTAATCAGACAGTCCTCTGTGGAAGAATCAATAATTTATTAATAGATGACTAGAAGACATTCATTTCTATTACGTAAAAACTGAAAATAAAACATTTGTATTCAATCAGCGATTTGAATATGGGTCTACCAAATGCACAAATAATTTCATAAAGGCATATCTGCCAGGACAAAATGTTATGGACCTGTGGCGTGTTTTCCCTCACGTTCAACCCAGCGCTGCAGTAAAGCATGGCTCTGCTCTTGCAGGGAATTAGGATTCTCTGTTCTCACTAGCTGAATATCATCTTCACTGAATTCCAGTTCTCTTGCAAGTTCTTGAGAGGTGGAGAACAAATCAAATAACAAAAGAGTTGAATTATGTATAATATCATCTGTTCCTGATGATGAATAGTTGAGTTAAAGTTAAAATAACATTTGAAAAATGCAGAAAAATACAGCCTCTACCTAAAATACAGCCTCTTCCTAAAGTACATTGCGTATTTAAAATTTAAAATATAAAACTTAAAATTAATTGCATAATTTGACAGCTTACCAGTCCAGCTGAAGCCAAGAAGATCTGAAATGATAGCTAATGTCTCCTCTTTCCTGTCAGCATCTTCCTGCCAATCGACTAAAAAAAATGCCAACATAGCCAAACATTAAATGTTAACAACTCCTGAAGTGAAAATATACCGAGTAAAATTTTATTTTACATATTGCAAGTATATGTTATGTGAATGTGTACGTGTAAAATAATATTTCACGAGGATTCTATGCTATAGGCTGTAAAATAAATGTAGATCTGTAATAATGACGTAGATGATAACATAAAGGCTGAAATTTGATACAAATTAATGTTTTCTTACAAATGACTAGTCACGGTCAGCACATCATGCTTTTCAGTCATTAGTGTAAGTAATGTTATAGATCTGCTTTTCCTTATTTTGATAATAGTAAAGCTGGATTATTAGTACAGACAATACTCTCATATAATAATCATTCATTCATCTATAATCAATAAGTCTTCATTGAAACTACTTAGACTATTTCTTTAGCCAACATGGCCATTCAATCTTGAGACTGCATATTCACAAACACAGATGGGAAAGTAACTTACATGCACAACACAAAAATATACACATAGGGGCACACATACTCACATACAAAATACACTAAACTGTGCAAGGTGGGACCAGACAAGTCACAACATATGAAAGCAATGCAAAATGAGTAATGTTGATATTGTTCTTAGGAGGAGGGAAAAGGCTCTTGCAGCTGAGAGGAAGAGATAAGAATGTAAAAACCCACTTTGAGTCTGGCCATACCTGCCGTACATTCTGAAGTTTGGTCATCGATGACTCTCTGCATCTGAGTTTCCACTGTTTCATTCCAGGCAGGCCTGGATTCAAATACATCCACTGTCTCACAAGACAAATGCTCTGTTGGCTCTACTCTACTGCCATCAGAACCTGAACTATGCGAAGCAGGAATGTCATATGTGAAGATAACAGAATCTGGGCTCTTGTGACTAGCGCTACTTATATCATCGGTATCCAAAGAAGGCCTAACAGATGTTTCTATAGTCATGGACAGTTGGCTGTCTTTCCTTGGAGAAGAGCATGTCGAGATCATATGAGGTAAAGCTTTTTCTTGTGTCATTACAGTAAGTTTGGAAGGGGAAAGGTCAGTTGTATTAGTGGGCTGACTACCATCAGAATAACTCCTGCTGTCTTTTACAGAGGATTTATTTATGTCACTAGCCTCAGATCTAGTCCTACGGGCCAAGGTGGAACTTTTTTCTTCTCCATGAACTTGAGATATCTGTATGTCTTTCTTGGCTTTTTTATAATGACCATCTCCCTTAACTGCCGTGGCTGGTTTTGTCAAAGGTGTGGGTGAGTCCTGATTATATGCTGGCATGCTAGGCTGACCAGATGAAAAGGCCATCTCTATGACTGAGCACTGGTCTTCTTCCTCCTCAACGTCATCATCATCATCATCATCATCATCATCATCATCTGAGAAATCATGGCTCTGGTCTGAGTAGAATGAATGAGCGACTGTGGATATGTCTGATTGAAGATCGGCTATGGTAGAGTCTAGATAGCTTAGACCGAGACTTTCAAGGCTTTTATTGTCTAAAGCAGAGCTAGAGCTGGCACATTGAACTTTAGTAAGTGGCTTCTCAAGTTGTGATTTTCCACTTGTAGCTACGATGACAGTTTCAGAATTGGGACTAGATGCTTTGTCACTGGTACCCTGAGTCAAATATGAATTTGGGGTTTCTTGATGGGTTACATCTGAGACATAATCATTCATCTGTAAAGTTAAAGACTTTGATTGAGAGTGTTCAGTCTCTTCTGGGACAACTTCATCAACTGGATGTTTCCCAATATGAAAAAATGCATATGCTTCCCTTTCTTCATCGAGGCTTCTTGTCATGTCAATAGCTCCACCTCTGGTCATTTCAAATAGCTTTCCCTCTTGAAACTGAAATGGATCAGGGGTTTTTTCATCACCTGGTGTTTTATCAGGTGTTTTTCTGTCCTCTGAAATGCAAAGACCCTCACACTCTACAACAAAATCTCCTTCTTTAGTACACACCGTAGTCTGAGGTTGGCTGACTGACTGTTTTGGATCACCAAAACACGTAAATGGTGATCCAACTTCTTTGTCATCATTTAAATGATGTTCATCTGAGCCAGAAAAAGGAATGTCAGTGACTGCACCTCCAATAGTGTCTTTATCTTTATCTTTGTGTGGCACAGAGTACTCACATTCTTGTTCAGGTTCATCTGGAGTTGCAGTTAAACACAGTGAACTGTCAACTGAGTGAGTACTTTTAGGATCTGACTGAGTTTCTTCCTTCTTATTAAAAGTAATATTCAGTGCCTCCTTTTGTCTGTGAATGCTTTCTGTCACACATTTCTCTGTTATTTTCTCTATTGCATCTTGTGGGACAGACTGTGAAACCGGGCCAGATTTAAGATCAACCTCACCATTTTCATGACCATTTGTTTCTGATAGTACAATAGCATCAAAAGATTTTTCTATCCGCAGTTTAGACTCCTGTTCCATCTCCTCAAATGTTTTGATCTTTGCAGCCATTTTAAACATCTCCTCTTCTGGTGTTAACTGTTTATTGGTGCCATCAACCGCCCTTTCTTCTGTGTCAAAACAGCCTTGCCTTACAAACATGTGAAGACTCTCACCATGAGCTACTCTCTTTGTGGATTCAGAATATTTGTCTTCTTTATTTTCACTGTGTATTTCAGTTGTCTCAAGATTGTTATCATGCTCAACATGCTCACATTCATCTGAGTAAATATTTTTCTCATAAGCAAAACACGCTCTGAGCTGGGAAGCATAATCTTCATATACAGCAGTCTTTGCTGGGATCTTAATGTCTGCATTGTTTGACTGAGTAGGACTTCCCTCAAGAGAGTCTGGACAAGGAGATTCTTTGGTAGGGCTTGGTTCAATTGAATCAGGGGATTTCTGTGACGATTTATCCTCCACAAGAGGGCTAGCTTCTAGTGAATCTCGATGACATGACTCATTAGCTGGGTCATCAAATACAACAGTGTTTAGATTTTCTAAATCAGCCGGTCGCTGTAGTGTGTTAAAACTAGTTGGTACTTGAAAAAGAACAGAATCAGAGACAGCAACACTAACATCTTCATGGTCACTTTTATAGTCATGTGCATCCACCATCCATTCCGTTTTAATTTCCTCAGATGAAAAACTCTTCAGGCCTTCATCTTCTTTAGAACATGTGTGCCACCCACTTTCTAAAGGTTGTTTTTTAGTGATATCCAGGCTGTCAAAAATTGTATCTCCTGGTGACATCATTTTATGTTCAGGAGATAAGGCATGAGTTTCTTGTTTGAAATCCTTTATTGCTATAACTTGCTTGTAGCTCTCATGGACTAGTTCCTCTTCTGGTTCAGATTGCACTACTGCTGACTTTTCCTGAAGATGCTGATCTAAGTCATGCCTAAGAACTGATAGCATGTCAGACATATTTTTCCCAGTTGTAGATGGCTGGTGGTGCGCCTTTCTCTCTATGCAAATTTCTTGGAATGGAGTTTCTACCACTGAACTTAGTATTTCTCTGCCTACCATTACATCAGTCTGCAGCTCTTCGATTTCTTCTTCTGCTATTTTGACCTGTAAATCATTACTTTTTATGGTAGTTTGTTCACATCTCTCATGGACTACATCCTCTTCTGGTTCAGATTGCACTAC